ATTGTATTGCGATGCATTAAATTACGTCGTGTATTAATAAATATAAATGGTACACAAGTATATACTGCAATTAATTCCTTATTATTTATCCAAGTGCAAAATTTGAGTTACAGTATTTTTTATCCTATAAAACACTATAGCGTTTTAAAGATATGTCTTTACATTTTAGTAATACACTTTTATTAGATATATATATATATATCTTGCAGTTTTCTGCAAGCGCTAATAGTTATATATCTATTTTGACATAATACGCTGCTATTTCAATAAATTGATTAAAAGATCTTTTTATGATTTTGTAATCAATTGTGATAAGTTGGAAAGTTTGTAAATTAAGAGTACCTTATACGCTAATTTCAACTTTAATCGCATATATTGTTTTAGAGGATCATTGTTATTAGAAAGTTTTAAATAAATATTTTAAATATTTCTTTAAATAAAAACCAAAGTATATATATATATATATAAACATTTATAATTATTATCTTACCGAGTGAATTTTGATAAAAGTTCGGAAACTTTTGGGACAGACCATATCATTCGAAATACATCCCTTCCAAAGAAAAACATTGTTTACAACAGTCGTACAGCTTTAGAAAACTCCGCTAAAAGTTTTTTTTTAAATGGTCAAAATGACTTCAGTCGAAGCCTTCTGAATGTCCAAAATAGTATTAAACTACTTTCCCTTCAGCTTCATTTTAGCTTCGGGAATAAAAAATAGTCACATAGTGCCAAATTTAGTGAATATGAATGGGGGATGATCAAGAATTGCGACTGATTTGGAAGCAAGAAATTTACGTACGACGATGTACTTGTAAGTCGAAGCATTGTTATGCAGAAACAACCAGCTGCCTTGCGCCCGATATTGAGGACAAACTTGATTAATTCTTGCCAGCAAGCTTCATTTCACACAGAATTGAATATTTGCTCTTTGCTCCATCGTGATTTTTCGTCGTGTGTCACAAAGGTATTGTCGATTTTATACTTGTGATAAAACAATCGTTAGGGAAAGGAATCTCAATTCAACTTACAGAATTTGTGAATAAAACTTCAATGAAGACAGTGCAACCTTATTTATATAGATGATGCCATTAATATCGTCTGTACGAAGAAAGTTCGGAAACTTGGAACAGACCGTGTATACTATATACATATGTATATATAATAAATATCGTAATGGAACGTTTTACCATTACCATTTAATAATCGAGAAATTTAATTTAATTAGTACTGTCCGCTATTATTTATTATTATACCTTTCGCAGTTGGATATATTACTATCGATTATGTCACAATCGCTAAGAACATTACGTTTGTTCTATAAATATCGGTAATGGTAAAAAGATAGAAAT